CTCTTCTCTTTTCTTCCTCTCTAAGAATTGTATCTAAGACTATTAAAAACTATCTCTATGTAAAAGTGGCTCATATTCCTTATATAGGTAGCTCAAATATCATACCCAATGCTCTAGGCTCGTACACAAGGGCTCCTCCAATGATTGCACAATGAGACAACTTTTAATGAACTGGAGATATATTTTTTTTCGGATTTGAGAGGGTTCGATCGATCGAACCTGTGCTGTAATCGATCAACCATGGCTGAGATTTATTAAACTTTGGCTGGATCGATCCTCCCATGGCGGCGCCTTTTTGGATAAGGACAGATCTGAGATATTTTGGGGAAAGAGACAAAAATGGTAGGTAGGGTGATTCAACAGGATAAGATGGAATCTTTTCGATCGATCTGAGAATTGTTGGATCGATCGAACTTTGTGGGATATTTGGATAAGGACAAAAGAGCTTGGATCCATCTTGGAGAGTCTAGATCGATGAACTTTTGATCAATCGAAGGATTATTGAGATCGATCGAACCTGCTGAATTTTCACACTTTGTTTCAATCTTCTTCCACTTTGCTCCTTTCTTCCATCCAGCTTGAGTTAGCTTCTTTTAAACTCTTATTTGACTGAATTAGCTTATTTTAGGGATACGCACCTAAAGAGGGCAATAACACGAAATTAGTCTAAAACGGGAAAGTAAGATAGATAAATGTCCTAGAATACCTAAACTTAAGGGGTTTAAATGCGCACTTTTCAGCGCTCATCATCTTTAGTCACCGCTAACGCACCGGGTTGAATAAAATTCAGGTCGTTAATTACAACAACAAATACTTCGTTAGCCAATCAAAGATTTATTACATTGTTCATTATGCATGAATTTCTCCCCAACAATTCCCACCCACCTACTAACTCGTTTTAGTCATGGAAAATGCTTGTCGAAAGCACTTTAGCTTAACCATAGAATACAATAATTAAGGTAACCAGGGGCAACCTAGGAGTATCTCCTCTATTTCTCAAAGTAAGATGTGGGGGGTTCAAATTCTCATATGAAAAAATAGGTGTGTGAATTTCTTGTCAAAAAAAATAAAAATAAAAAGAAAAATAAAAAAATTACATTAACCTTCCCACTTTAGGTGTGAAAAATCAATAATACCCATATATTATAATAACATATTACATTACTATTAATATTTATTACTGAAGTGAAAAATTGTTATTTTATAAAATTTGATCAATAGATTTCTTGGAAAGAAAATATTAAAGATGTCATTGAGTACACGGGTCAAATTTAAGAAAGGGTCAAAGTAATAAATACTGAACGGGTCTACGCCAAAAAAATGATATAAAAAAATAAAGGTACCCATGTTGGTGTTAGGCTTTTGTATCATATAATTCATTAGTTACAATTTAGGAAGTACGAATACTTCTCTTAAGGTGTCGTGGTAGTAGGGGTGTAACTTAGATTGAGTAACCCGAACCCAATCCGAGCCCAGCCTAATTTTTCATAAGCTTAGGCAATCATTTTTATAATTAAGGTTGGACTTGGATTGAAAAATCTCAACCCGAATTTAATTAGGGTTGAGCTTGGGTTAAAGTTCTAGCAACCCAAGCCAACCCGAACCCAAATTCAAATATTATTTTCATATATATTTTTACTTTTAAATATGTTATATATAATATTTAAACTATGATTACTTTTTTTATTTTCAACTTTTTTTGTTAAATCTTAATTTATTGTATGTTAACATTTAAGAAAAGATGATGACACCAAATCGAAAGGGAGAGAAAGAAACAGAGAAGGACAAAGAGTAGATAATGAAGGTAATATTGTCTTTTTAGATTGTTAATATTTTGGAATAAATGGAATTAAAAAATTAGGGGCAAATTTGACTTTTTGTAAGTTTTTAACAGTGTTAGTGACGGAAAAGTAAAATTGGACCTAAGTGATAGTAATTTTCAAAGGATATTTCAATGTGATATTTGGCTAAACCTAAGGGGGTGTCACTTAAATTAACCTATTTGAAATTAGTGAATTATATATGATTATTTGGATAAAATGGCAAAAAATATATTACAGTATATATATATATATATATATATATATATATTTGACGTATTTGTCGTACCCAAATTCTATTGTTTTGAAATTTATAATATTGTGGTATTCGTATCATACCCGTTAGGGATGGCAATTCCCTCAGTGGGTTTCCGCCCCGTTTCGTCTCTAATGGCGTGAATTTGGTAGTCCCTTAAATGGGTTAGGGACGGGTTTGATAAAATAATTGAAAATCCGAGACAAGTTTGAGGCGGAAAAGAATTTAGTAATGAACTTGTCTTGATTATATATATATTTTTAAAAACTATATATATATATATATATATATATATATAATATTTAATATTTTTAAGACCCTTCGTATTTGGCGAAAAATGTTATTCTTGGACAACAGCTTTAATGTTACAACATTATAATGTTATAATATGACGTGGACAGCCACGTCAAATGGGCCATTGACCGTGTAGATTGCCTTCACATGAGGCGGTCTCTTGGTAGTGCCTAAAACAAGTGTAATTGTTAAAAAACTTAACCACCCGGCATCTGTCAGATCTTCACGTGGATTTCATATGCCATTCTTCGACATCCACAGTCGAGTATTAGATATGGTAAATATATATAAGAAGGTCCCATGATTCTTTCACCTCAAGTTGTACAGAATCTCATTCCGTGTACTGACAGGTGGACAAAACACAAATTCTATCTACGAAACCAAGGATCAAGATTGAACAAAACACACAATAGTGTTGTATCGAACTATATATGATCCATGCATGGTTTCATGTCTATCTTCATTTTGAGTCGATAATGTGGAATAATATTCTGGGACTCTCCTGTACACGCTAGGACAGGATTCAAGTTTCGATGCATGTCAAATCAGACTTCTATTCCATTATCGGTGACCTCGATCTTTTCAAGTACAGCCAGGTGTACCGTTTGATCAATGCGTCTTTGGAATTTAGAGAACGATGAATTGAATTTATGTTAGTGAGATATAGAATGGTAATTTTAGTCGCGCCCCGGCCCAAACTTTAATGGTATACGTATGGGAATCGTTTAACGTCTTTGGAATTTAGAGAATGATGAATTGAATTTATGTTAGTGAGATATAGAATGGCAATTTGAGTCACATTTTGTCCTAAACAGTGAGGCAATTTGAGTCACGCTTTGTCCTAAACTTTAATGATACTAGTATGGAAATTATTTATGTACCGTTAAGATATGTATGAATTTAAATTTTATATCTGTCGCAGATTGTCGGGTGGGTTCGAATTTTGAAAAACATCCTTCTCGTTTAACACTTTATTATATATATATATATATATATATCATTATTTGAACAGTATAAATTTTATAGATTTATCAATTTATTTATATAGGGAAAAAAAAAAAAAAATTTGGGGCGGGTACGGGTACACTAATCTCTTAATGGGATGGATATAAATTGTGAAATTAAAACTAGTCACGAGTATAAATTTGTCCATAATTAAACGGGGCGAGTAAATTTAGGCAAATCCACTCATCCTAGTGAGATATGGATTCCGGTCGCATATCATGTGGCAAGGTCTACGGCACCAACCATACAACACTACCAACATTCTTTGAATTTGAAAGATGCATCATTTTTCAATCAAAATGTAACACCATGCCGTCACAATTTAAATGTGTGGCATTCTTGAATTAATGCGTTACATGAGTGTTTAGTCGCCACTACATGCACGTTACGTCCTTAATGTATTGTATGATATCAGTGATTCATTTGAACTTAAGCGTGTGTTTGGTTTGTAACTTTGAAAACTCAGACAATTTAGTTCTCAAAATTTAGAAAATTATTTTTCGAGAATTATAAAAGACAGTTATTTGAAAACATAGAGTTTAAGGTCTAAAAATAGTTCTTAAGAACTCAGAAAATAAAAAATTATTTTCTGAGAACTATATTTATATCAAAAAAACTGAATCAAGCAGATTTTATGTACAGTTTTCTATTTTCAATTATTTGAAAACTTTCAGCGTTACAAACCAACCAAGACCATATATTTTTATAACTGAATTTTCAAACAACAGTTTTATAAAAACTGAATCAAGCAAAATTTTTGTACAGTTTTTTTATTTCCAATTTTTTAAAAACAAAAAAGTGTTTTCAGAGTTACAATCTTTGTAACTCTGAAAATAGTTGTCAATAATTCGGAGAACATAAAACTGTTTTCAGATAACTATTAAAAAAATAGGCATTTTTATAATTGTGTTTTTGATTACAGAAAAATAAACCAAACAGAATTTTTTATGCAATTTTATATTTTTATTTTTTTAAAAATAAAAAATTATTTTCATAATTACAAACTAAACTGAAGTAAAATTTTCTAAGTTATCCACAATGCACGTGTTCCAGATAATTTGACCTTAGAGAAGAGCATGGACATGCCAATTAAGGTCCAACACGGTCCCAATTCTGATCTCTTAATACACAGGCCCGTCAACATCGCTCCCCTTATCTGTCTCTCTCTAGATTTTTCTAGAGAAACAAACAGTCCTAGCTAGCTAGGAAGATAGTTTTTGCACACCCCATCAACCCACCAACATCTATATTATTACCATTTTAGTTGTGAAATGCCTCAATCTTTCTTGACTACCTTGAACTAGTCTCAAACTATCAAGCAAACCAAGCATGCAATTTTCTTAGACGAGTTGAAATTTAGCCCCCCTATTCACACACAAACACATTCTCCAACAAACATAAAACATTAATATTGAACCGTTGGGCGATCTATTCATTAGTTAATTCTAATTATTTAATACCCAATACATTAAGATGATGTGAATCAAACGTGACTATGATAATTTATAATAATAATAATAATAATAATACTCGTAATAATTATGATGATGATATGAAAGAGCTTCTCTCTCTTTACAATCCCATAAAACTAGAGCTAATTCTCTCCCTCCATCTCTCTCTAACAACTAAGTATCTCCATAATGCTGAGCATTTTGAGCTGGTTGATAAGCCTTAGGCATCATCGGTAGATAACTCCCGCTCGACATGGCCACCGGAAACCCCATCCCGGTCGGCGGCGGCCTATTAGCGGCGGCTCGCTCCAGCGACTGCACTTGCGTCTTCAAGAATTTAACATAGTGAATTGCTTCGTCCAACATGGAGGCGGTGTCCATTTTGGTGCCTCCGGGGACGAGTCTCTGAAGTATCCTAATTCTCTCGCTGATCCTCTCCCTTCGGTGACGCGCCGCCACGCTCTGCGGATCCTTGGATATCTTCACGTTCCTCCGCTTGGGCGGCTTCACCGATTCCGGGTCGATGTGGATCGGCTGCATGGCCGCTATCCGGAATATCATCTCCCTCATCGCCGCCATCGAGTTCCGCTTCTGTGACTGCGTAGGAAAAGATGCACCACCAACACCACCACCACCACAACTTGCACCCGATGATAATTCCCCATTCCTCCACCTCCCGCCGCTGGACATATAAGGTGGCACCACCGCCGCCGGCTCCTGAACCGGGGCTATGCCGCCGAATGATATGGTACATGGTAGGTTCATGAATGTTGATGAAGCAACGGTAGTTGAATTATCGATAATTTGCGGCGTGGCGCCAAGGTTGTTGTTGTGGCCGCCGCCGCTTCCACCGGGACTAAAATCTATTGGTGGCAGGTCGGAGACGTCGCTGTAGGGTACTCCGCAGAAGTCGGGGAGCTTGTCCATCTGCATCATCATCATCATCTCAATCTGATCATCGGATGACGAAGACTTTAACAGGTCAATGTCCATGGCTTCACTTTAATTTATAGTGAACGTACACCTATGAAACTAAGAGTGGGTTTTATTGGGAAAAGGAGAAGAGAAAGAGAGAGGCAGTGTTTAAAAGCTGAAAACTGGTAGACAGAGGGATGGGTAAGGTAAAGAGAAGGGTGTGAACTTGGAGTTTTATCAGAAATGTGCAGTGAAGGAAGAGAAATGCAATTAGGGTTAGGGAAGGAAAATAATAAAAAGGGAATAAAATAGTGATCTCGGGAACAGACTATCATAACACTGAGAACACTATATATAACAAGTGGTTGTATATTATAATATTATATATATATATATATTTATTTATTTATTTATTTTTCATTTTCACCCTTTTGTATTAATTATTTCAAAGTTGGTGAGATTTTTTCCTCTTTTTACAAGTTTTATTTTATTTTATTTTCTGTTCCAAAATAAATGTTTCAATTGAAAAGTGAATACTATTTTGTATAACATTATCAATTTAACCTTGTTGTATTGAACTTATAAAAAATAAATCATCACATCCATGTGGACTCAATATTAATAATTTAGTAATTCACCTACTACTAATACAATAAAAAAATACTAAAACTCTTCTTACAAAGTTAAATTCTGACATTTTTTTTTTGGACTAAGGGAGTAATTATACTCTGTATATCTTCATTTCAAGAACTACCTCAGCGTAATGATAAGATTGCTTGATTTATTGTAACTACGAACATTATAAGAGTGGCCTAATTAGCGTAACGGTAAGATTGTTCAATGTATTATAATTACGAACATTACGAGAGTGGCATAATTAACGTAACGATAACAACTACGCACATCTGAATCTCTTCACACTCGACAATCTCGCACTAACATGAACCTTCTGCGCTAGACTAGTCTTTTGTTCTTGGTTAGAGATAAAAATTTAAAATTCTTATATATGATGATTGGTGCCTAGAAGAGCATCATGGAGATGATCAGGACCATTGAAAATTTGGGCCACCACTAAGATGATGATGATTGATGAAGGAGAAGAACAAAGTTTTTTTAACCTGCAGCAAAGAGAGAATTTTTTTTGACCATCTATCTTATCTCAAGAGCTAATGCCTCAAAGTGATGTAACATTATGATCAGATGGACATGGCCCACCATTTGAATGATTCAGATCTACCAACTGTTCCAGGGAATAGCATAAGTGCTTTTGATGGTGCATGAATGAATTATATATATAAATAAATACATATAATTTTATTCAGTGGAACTGTGGAAGTCTTAACTTTGCCTTAAAATTTACTTTCTTTTAAGAACCTAAAACCCCACTCACATGACAAGAGTCAGATCTTTAACACTTACCCCTGACCCCTTTTAAATGTGAGACATATGAGTCTCAGCCGGCCGGTCGCCGGTCAAACCTCGGTGTCGGCCCCGTTGATCGGGTAATGTACACGTGGCGATAATCTAACGGGGTGGGGCCTACTGTATTATTATAGCTCACAGTTTATCCTGATGTAGTGCAGACTATACAGCCTAAACCTCCTCCTCTCACGCACTGGGAACGCTTTTCAAGGTGGATCAGGTTCTGAATTCTGATACAACTGATTCTCATGTGCTGGTATTTGCATATATTGTTAACGAACTTACCAGGGAATGAACTGGCTTACTTGCCACCTTTACAATTTACCAGTGTAAAAAGCTTTCTAACACGTACAATATATATATATAGTCACACATACACAATTCCTATATATATAGTTGATGTTAATAGATTATCTTCATCTCCTGCATCATCACAAAGATGGGTTCAACTTCACATCTAATAGCATACATAGGGTTTGGCACTAGCTCTCGTCATTGCGCGGTCTGCAGAGAGTATTTCTCTCGTTTTGAACTCTTGATCTCTAGATCAATATAGAGCAACTTGGAGCCAAAGACTCAATCTCATACAAAATTTATAGTTATGGTTTAAAAACTATATTTATAAGGGTAAATTTTTGTTTTGTTTTGTGGTTTTCGGGTTAAATTATTCAACTCTAAAATTCTGATTATGCATACTTACATAGCTCCTATCTAATTGATGTTAATAGATTCTATTCATTTCCTGAAACCTAGTTTACTAACTAATTAAAAATAGAGTTTGACACTAGCTTCACTTGATCATACAAGGTCTAGTTACAGTCATGGTTTAGAAACTACATTCCAAGGGTAAATTTATGTTTCGTTTTGTAGTTTTCGGGTTAAATGATTCAACCCTAAAGTTCGGATCGGCTCACCGGGGAACCCTCTCAGCACGTAACGGGACAATGTAATGTAGGTGTTGATGGGGACATCTATGGCGGTATTAGGACAACAAACGGGGGTGTCAATGAGACGATAGAGTTGATTTTGGTAGAAGCCAACAACGTTTCTGATCGCATCCATCAACCACCTAATATATTATTGTGTTTGTCTGGATCTGCATAGCAGAGCATCAATTTTAGCTGTGGTTAAAAAAGAGGGTTGTTTAAACCATCTAGTAGAGCCTTCCATGCACGTCAAAAATTTACATATATTGCATGCATGTATCTATACATATACATATATATACAGTAGTTGTATATGGAAAACATGTGAATATAGATAGTGTAATTGGTGCACTACAGATACAGTTTAATGAATGACAACTATAAAGATAAGGGTATGTGACCTACACATTAATGGTTTATCAGAGTTAGATTTTTTTTTTTTTTTATTCCTCGCTCTGAAAATCAAAGATAATAGAAGCCATGGATGTATGTATTATAGTTACAGCTAACAAATGGTATTCGAATGGACATTAAATGGCTTCTACTGAATGCACATACAGACATGGATAACAGGATCAGCAAAATTAATTAATCTTCTCGTTTTAATTTTTAAATTATCCGGATGAGGAGATGATTTATATAATATAACTTTCAATTATTTAATCAAGTTTTCTATATGTACAAATTATATTCGTGTGAAAATTAGTTACTAGTGGTTTTTGGAGGTTTTTGTGTATATATATATATGTGTGTGTGTGTGTTTTAAACACACTATAGTGTATTATTATATTTAAGAGTGTTATTGTATGCATATGTAGAGGGTGAGTGGCCGGTGGGAGAAATTCTCATACGTCACCAGTAAAATTAATAGAAAATTATATATATATATATATATATATATATATATATATATATAAAGATCTAGAAACCTAGTAGAATTGATAGATGAAGAAATGTTTAAATTAGATGAAATGGGTTTTGAGTCATGAACACAACCAGCTGTACTTTGCAGAAAAAAGGAGGATAGAAAGAGAAAGATGAGAGACAAAAAGAAGCATGTGTTTTTTTTTCTTTTTTTTTTTTGCTAGCTGCCTTCTTTTTTTCTCTGCAATGCCAAAATCCAAAACACTAAAAACCCTAGCTCTCTCTAGGGCATTAAAAAAAAGTAATAATAAGAAAATGTTTATAATAATGAAGAGAGACATGAATAAAGAAAGGGACATGTTCTCTGCAAGAAGAGGTTGGTTTGGATAAAAAGGATCCAGAAGAGAGAGATCTTGTTGTTGGGTGGGTTTTTTTACTTAGCATTATCACAGTTGCCACCACCTTATCTTCTCTCCCCCACTTCCACATTTATAATTCATTCTTGTGTGTGTAGATACACACACGCATATATATATATATATATATATATATTATAATTGGAATTTCTCTTCCACTTTGTTTCTTCACCGTCCCTTCCTCATCGGGAACTGCAGGGAGGGGCTCATAGAAGAAAAGAATAGTATTTTACTATTAGAAATGGTCCCAACACTCTCTCTAGACTTTCTCTCATGATTTTCATCACTTTTGCAAATGAAACAGTCAAAAGGATAGTGCAAATTGTTTGAGTTTCAACCTTTCATTTTCACAGTTTGAACAAAGGGAATGGAGTGTAAAACTAGGGTTTCGTGGAGCAGAGCAGAGCAGAGTCCAGACCCTATTGCGTGTTACTGCGTTATTATTAGGTTTCCATTGTTGGCTAGACATAGTGTGTGTTTGCGTTCACGATAGACCTGGTTTTAACTCATCAACTCTCTGGGCTTTTTCCCATTGAAAAACAATGTTGTTGGGCTCACAACTTTTCTTGGGCTGCGAGTTTGTCTTTTTCCACATATTAATGGCTAGCCCGTCGCATGTGATTCATCACGGATTTTCTACAGATGAGGCAGAGTCCTTTAAATAGGACACTTTTTTACTTTTTTTGCTACAGAAGAGGCAGAGAGTCCTTTAAATAGGACAGTTTTTTACTTTTTTTCTATCCTAAAAAAAAAAGGATAAAAAATATATATATAATTTTTTTTTTTTTAATATAAGATTATGTAGAATTGCATATTTAAAATTAACTAAAATTTATCACGAACACATGGAGATCTTACCAACACGTGTATGGTGACCCAACACATGGGGGTTCTATTCACTTGCCAGGTAAACAATAAAAAAAAAAAAAAAAAACTACTTAAGAGTCGGGTGAGCTGGGTAGCCCAGTTAGTAAAGACACTCCCCTCAATCGTGTGAGAGTCCAAGTTCGACTCACCTATCCTCCTCCTCCTCCTCCTCCCCCTTCCCCTTCCCCTTCTTGCCAGGTTAAAAAAAAAAAAAAAAACTACTTAAGAGTGAACCATACAAACATGAATCCTATTTTTTCATTCTACTCCAAGGTCATGCCCTTGGTCAAACCATATGTTTTCATATGATGATAAAGGTAATTGGTAAAACTCACCAAATGTAGACAAAATAATAACTAATAATCTGGAACTATCAAAAAGTCAAACCCATAATTAACTATGATCTTTCTTGGTCTATTTATGTAGCAAAGCAAGAATTTTATGTGCTGCTCTCTATATGTTAATATTACATCTGTATCTCACTAAAAAAAAGTTAAGCAGCTATCAATGAGAATGAGAAGAGATCTTCAAACCTAACTCTTTTACAGTGTCTTGCAGTAAGTCCTAACCCAGCATTACTAACAAAGCACAGCAGGGCCTAGCTAGTTCAGATATGCCAGCAAAAAGATGATTGCCCAGTAGGGGCTCACTAAATGTTCTGATCAGCCTCTTACAGAATTTGTTCACTTTGGGCTATCCCATAATAAAGGTGACTGGATCAACTCCACCCTTCCCATGATTTTAATGAACTAACCCTATGCGCGTGTCCGGGGGGATTAGTCTTAGCAAAAGAGTGAGGATTAGCATATTCTACCATAGAAGAAAAGAAGAACCCGAGCGGAAAACATAACGGACAATTTTTACAGCTAGATTACTTTGCAAGTGAACGTTCACTTTGGAAACCCTATAGGATCAATCACAAGATAGAGAAACTGCAGTTTCTACCATACAGTGCAATGGATAGATTCTATTTCTAATAACAAGCATCAATGTCTTACCTCCTTCAAGCAAACTCCCTAAAACAAGAAGTTATAGACCTCAATTCAAAAGAAAAAATTTGAATGTTGAAGATATGACATCAATTTCGCTCTCAAATCACGTGACCAGCAACAACTAAAGTTGCAACGTATTAGATCTTTTCTTTCTTTTTTTAACCCAATGTATTTGGATTCATGATGACTCAATACTATGATCAAAACCATCCAACACAGAATATGTTCTTACACCATCCAATGAAAACACTTGAAACTCAGATATAAATAAATAAATAAGAGAGAAAAAATAGCAACAAAACGTTTCCAAAATAATAATGAAGATGAAGAATTAAACAAAAAGATATAAAGTCACATCAGTTAAATTACTGTAATGATTAGTTATACCTACAAAACTTGAAAGCTCTTTGAACAGAGAGAACAGTTTCCATTGGAGCCTCCGCTTAGTTCCCATCCAAAAGCTTACCTACACAAAACTGATGTAAATTTTCATACAATTTCTTCCATTGTTGGATCATTCGCATATATCTTCTGGAATCAAGTTTCAGTCTTTCCATCTCCATTCCAGACGCAGCAGCAGAACCTTGTTGCTGAATATAAGACCAAAAAACTAAGGTAGGTTAGACAGATTTCAGGTGCAGAAAGGGCTCCACTATTCTTTTCAATAAAAGAAAAGGGTATCATATCATGACTTTTAAAAATAAACTGAACTATTTCCTTACTTTTCCAGAATTTAAAAGTGACTAAAAATGAATCATACATATAAAAATGTAAGCTATTCACAAACTGTAGTAATAATTCATGATAGGCTAGTATCAAGGTGGACCTTAATTATTCAGAAAAAGGAAAAAAAAAAATGGTTTACATTATTGGACAACTAGTCAGCTGATACTAGTTATCGAAAAATTAAATAACTAGTGAGCTGATATTGGATTTGGACAGATGATGAATCAAGATAAAAACAAGAATCAGCCAGAAATATTCTGATAGAATTGAAAAATTACATCAATAATTTTGGATAAATCAGTCTGCAACCAAATGTGTCAGCTTTATTCAACTTCTTAGTTTTGTGGCGTCCTGTTATTGGCCGGGACCACATGGTCCCAGACCATGTAATACTTTCTCATCAATGACAATGAGGAGATCTTCAAACCTAACTCTTTTAGACTGTGTTACAGAAGTCCCGACCCAGCTTAACTAAAAAAGCACAGCAGGGCCTAGCTAGTTCAGATAGGCCAGCATCCAGCGAAAAGATGATTGCCCAGTGGAGGCTCATTAAATATTCCGAGCGCATCTTCCTGAGCAACCTCTTACATAATTTGTTCACTTTGGGCTATCTGAATTCATAAGATCGTCACTACAAAATTAAGAAACTGAGCTGTTCAAGTATGGCCCTAAACAGCATCACTTCATTTCTTACTGCTAAACGTTAATGGATAAACTCCACCCTTCACATTATTCTAGTGAACTTACTCTGTGCACTGTCCAAAGGATTAGAGTCAACAAGAGAGTGAGGATTCTACCAGAAAAGAAAAGAAAAAGAACCCAACACGAAAACATATTGAAATTTTTTTAAAGCTAGATTACTTTGAAAGTGAACATTCACTTTGGTAAGCCTTTAGGGTCAGCAATCACAAGCTAAAGAACCGCAGTTTCTACCATACAGTGTGCAATGGAGATTCAGTGTCTAATAACAAAACATCAAAAACAAAACCAATCAAAGCATCTTTTGACCAAGAAAACAGTATATTAATATCAAAGATTAATTGCAATTGCTAACATTTTGTAACATATTATGAGGATATTAGTTAAACAAACTACAGCATTTCTTGAACCATGATTCAGGATAGAAATTTCCTTAACCTACTCAACCTAAAATCCCCTACCCCCACAACCCCAACTCTACATACATGCACATCAACAGAAACAAAAAAACTAAGCGAACTCAAAGCTCCTACTTCGTAAAGATACATTCCATTTTCTTGAATGTAGCATCAATGTAAATTAGCGAATAGTACGAATACATTTGGAAAAAGGATGATTGGTTTAAGTTTGCATATAGGAGGCAAAGAGGCTGACCAAAACTATCATGGGACAAAGTAAATGGAACCGAGTTCAATAAATTAGGTATTAGAAGAAATGACTTGTATAAAAAAAGAAGAGAAAAGGAGAATTCACATGGCTAACAGAACAGAAAAAGAGAATTCACCCAACCAAACCCATTCATATGGGATAAAAGCAAGTATTGTTTTGATGATGGCAACGACAACAACATTTGGAAGAAAACCTATGATACCAGAAACAATTGAAATGTACATGGAAAAACCAAGCTGACTGCCTTCTTAAGGAAGTGAAGTACGTCAACTGATTTGCAGAGGTCAATACAGCATGGAAATATGGTTATCCGCAACCTCAAACGACTGCAGCAATTAGTGCAGTCACTACAGGCTGGAAGATGCTACATGAGATTGGGAAGGGAGAAGGAAAAGGAGTAATTAACAGAAAAGACTCAACAGTTGCGTTTGTCCGATTAGAAACTCAACAATTGAGAATATGCACACTCACCTCCAAAAAAGATGATTTAGTCATAGTCAGACATAATTAAACGGTAACTTAACAAAGGATATTAATGCTTGCAACCAGGCAATGCACCTTTTACAAAGCTTACCAGCACAGAAACTACTAATGCAGATAGGAAAACATTTTGCCTTCCTGTGCCCTACCTGTATCTTAGAAACTATCCAGTAATCTTTAGACCTGCAGTCTTGTAGGCTGAACTATTGGCACACAGATCAATTCTGTGGCCACATAGATTGGGTTTGTTTCAATGGCTCTAAGCTTCCAGCCCAGATGTATTTATCCTAATGCAACTCTTGGTTGAGTCTTAAAAAAATCAAACCACCAACCCTGATTGCTGATTCCACTGCCACTTTGCCTCTCACTTCCCTCTCTAAGCAATTTGGTTTTCCCAGGCTGGGCCCTATGCTACCCGACCATAGTAGGTGTCTACATCCTTCCATCACAGCATACACCCTAAAACAAGTTGTTATAGACTCAATTCAAAAGAGACAATTTGAAGGTAGGAGATATGATATCAACTTTGCTCTCAATCATGAGACCAACACCACCTAAAGTTACAATGTATTAGATCCATTCACTGGCGTATAAAAAGGAGATTCCTCCATGTCAGTTGCTTTGGTCTTAAAAAAGTAGAAGTGTTAATGTCGTTTGCAAAGACTGTAATTTAAAGCTCCTAAATTAGATTTAAAATTTAAACGTTACATTCAACCTTCTTTTTTCTCACTTCTATCACCCTTTTTCTTTCTCCTCACTCTTCCAAGAATCTGTTGAGCATTGAGTTTGACAGTCAAAAATCCTAGAAGATTTGCTCACCAGAACACTGCTGTTTGGAACCGCAACAGATCTGGCAGAGCATCACTGGAGCAAAATCCTTCAAAATCATAGAAGATCATTGTCCGATCACCATCATGGGGCCGTCTCTCTTTCTTTCTCTATGAAATCCAATAGTCTCTCAAGCATGCAAAGATTGATAAATCCTCCACTTATCCATCTTCTTCTGTATTTCTCCCCATTCTTTTCATGATTTTCATTCCTCGGAAACAGGCAATAATTTGTTCATTCTTACATTCCTTCATGAAATTTTATTGGCTCGACCATCATTATATGCACTATAGACATGTTTTTTTTTTTTTTTTCTCTTTTTCATCGTTGGTCTCTTTGTTCGCTCCATTGTCTTCTTCGTCTGCGATTCCTCTCATTCCGATTTCTTCTTATATCAAAGTTGCTCTGTGATTCTTGATTTTGGAATTCTTCTTGTTGTTTCGGAGCTGCCGGAGTAGAGAAATCAGATTCCATTTTCTCAGGTCAATTTCTTGAAATTTTGTGAGTTTACATACAGATAAACATAGACACAATGCAGAGAGGGCGTGTTTGGTTGGGGTTTAATGGACACTGGTTTTTTAGCTTCCATAAGGGCTATATGGTCTTTAAATAAAAATGGCTGTCACGTGACTTGTTAACGTTCAAATTCAACTGGCGGATCGCCGGACTAGGTTAATTGCAACCAAAGTGATTAGTTTAGGGGATTTTATGCAACTTTTGTAGTTCAGGGGGGTTATTTGCTAATTGGGACATAGTTGAGGGGGGTTTTTTGCACTTTACCCAACAAACTAATCCTCCAAAAAAAAAAAAAAATTATATTAAATAGCAGCAAAAAGTTTCAGAAATAAGGATGATGATGAATAAATAAACAAAAAGATATAAATTCATGCATCTCTGCGAATTACTGTAATAATTAGTTATACCTATAAAACTTGAAAGTTGTTTAGGAAGAAAGAACAGCTCTATCTCAGGAGGAGTTTCCATTGGAGCCTCCTGCTTGGTTCCCATCCAAAAGTTCATTTACACAAAACTGGTGTAAATTTTCATACATTTTCTTCCATTGCTGGATCATTTGCATATATCGTCTGCAATCAAGTTTTAGCGTCTCCATCTCCATTCCGGTAGCAGCAGCAGAACCTTGTTGCTGAACACAAGACAAAATACAAAGGTTTGACAGATTTCAAGCGCAGATAGGGCTCCACTGTTCTTTTCAACTAAAAGAAAAGGATATCAGATCATGACTTTTAAAAATATTGGACTATAACCCATACTTGTTCAGAGTTTAAGAGAGAAAAAATAAAAATAAAAAATCCTACATCCTTGTACCAAATCAAAGATCACTTCCACACACAATATATTTGATACGTAATATCACTTCCACAAATACAGATAAAAATGTAAGCTATTCACAATACTGTAGTAATAATTCCTAAACATAGCTTAGTATCATGGTTTACATTATTGGACAACTAGTCAGCTGACGTTGGATTTGGACAGACGATGAATCAGATAAAAACAAGAATCAGTGACAAATGTTCTGATAGAGTTGAAAAATTACATCAATAATTTTGGATAAATCAGTCAATTCTAACTTCTTCTTTTACAAATTGGCTCAAAAAATCTGCTAAATCATGAGAAATTTGCTCAAAAGTTATAATTTTGGTAAAAATAATAGGAAAAAAAAAGACCATGCCGAAATTGCAAATAGATTTAACAATCTAGAAAAAAAAAAAACAAAAAAACCAGATTGACGCAATCAAAAGGTATGAATTACTTTGAAAATTGAACAACATGATTAGAAGTTCTCCACAAAGAGGGACACAATAGAACTCATTCATTGTCTTTTCATGAAGATTAAATAGAACGTAGTTTAAATATCAGAAAATATGTACATAGGAATCAACTCATAAAAGGCATTAAAGGACCTAACTGACATGCTAGTTATAAAAATAAAAATAAATAAAAAATCCAAATTGACATGCCACTACTGTACCCAACAAATCCAATGTCAAGAGATGTCCCATAAAATTTCAACAATCTCTCAGAGAAGTCAAAATGTCCATTTACATATGGACATTTCAATCAAAATTGTCTATACCTTTGATAAAAACAAGTCTACTAACATTTAAATTAACTGCAGCCGTGATTGATGATTTTTACACAGTGACCACAATGAGATTTTTTTTTTTTTTTTTTTTTTTTTTTTTTCATAATTACCACAATGAGATTTGACTTTAACTTTATATTCTATTTCCACATTAAAACAAGATTGATCCACCAATTATTAAATACATGTTGGCTATGCCCGAACTTGAAAAAATATATTAAATTCTAGACATGTCTCAGACAGTCTTGCAGAGTCTGTAGACATCACAAGGTGTCATGTTTAACTTCTAACATAGACTCAACTCCAACCCAGCAGCATCCAAGTGATGAAAAGGAGTTGTGTTTGGTTGATGGCCATTGTAAAACCTCTAAATGAAAACATATAAACATATGGTTGAAAAAGGGCGAATTGCAAAAAACCCTCCTTGACTTTCACCCGTTTGCAAAAAACCCCCTTTATGAATATCTTTAGCAATTAACCCCCCTCAACTATCATGAGGGGGTCATTTTAACTAACCTCTGTTAAAGTGATTGTGTGAGGAAAATTTTTGAACAAAATTACCCTTAACATGAAACATCCGTTTAAGTGATTGTGTGATAAAATTTTCGGACGAAATTACTCTTAAAATCAAAACATTACAGTAGTATTACTAAAGTACCCACCACTCACTTTTTTTTTTTTTTAATTGCATAAAATACTAAAACGAGGCCTCTGATTTTGAAACGAGGCCTTTGATTTTTTCTTTTGAAATGTTCATGCATTTGGAATATATATAGTAATATGGTAGTTATTTATCAAATGTCAACTTAAATTGATTTTGGTGAAAGAAAAAAAAAACTTGTACCATGATTTTTTTATAAAATAAGATAAAGAAAAAGATATATACGAAAGATCCAAAAATATCATTATCATGATTTTTTATAAAATTTAACAGTAGAAATTTATCAAAATATGTGGCAAAATCATTTCATAATTAGGAGGAAGTGGCTTTTTTCATTTATATATATGTGTGTGTGTAGCATATCACAATTTAATAGAAAAGTATTGGGATTAAGATTTATGATGTTGAAATAAATCAAATTTTATGTCATAATAAACGCTTTTTCTATAGAATAAATAAATAATTAAAGATAGTCCAAACAAATATTTGTTATTTAAGTGAAATATCTTTTGACTATAAAAAAATAAAAAAAATAAAAAACAAGTGTGAAATATGTTTTTGTGGGGTGGGGGAGGGGGCTTTTGTTTTGATATTATGGTGGACGCCACTGGATTTTTTTTGGGTATGCTATATCTATAATTTTTTAGAATCTTATAAATTTCTATTTTTAAATTTAAAAAAAAATCATGGTACTGATATTTTTGGATCTCTCGTATATATATGTCTCTTTCTTTATCTTATTTTATAAAAAATATTTTTTTTTTTTTAAGTTGACATTTGATAAATAACTACCAAATGCATGAATATTTCGAAAGAAAAAATCAAAGGCCTCGTTTCATAATAAGAGGCTTCGTTTCAATATTTTATGCAGTTAAAAAAATAAAAATAAAGTGAGTGGTGGGTACTTTAGTAATACTAATGTATTGTTTTGATTTTAAGGGTAATTTCGTCCGAATATTTTATCACACAATCACTCTAACAAAGGTTAGTTAAAATGACCCCCTCATGATAGTTGAGGGGGATTAATTGCTAAAGATATTCGCAAACGGGTGAAAGTCAAGGGGGGGTTTTTTGCAATTCACCCGTTGAAAAAATTACAAACTAGTTTAACATAAGATTCATGTAACTGAGAGCGACAAAATGTCTTGGCTGATACCAACTGACCCAAGTTATTGAATCCAAATCACAAAAAATCTATTGTCATATATAATTGAATAATTATTATATTTAGTGATCATGTTCAAGTAAATAGTTTGACGTTAACTTCTATGGTTACGAATATAATAATTTGAACGTAGTGGAGGAACCAGCTTTTATACAACAACAATCACACTGAATAAGGCATCCAAGGTTACATGCAACTTAATTGATTTCTTAAAGGGCTAAAAGTACAAATATTTCCATGTCAATTGCATTTAGAAAATTAAATGAATAAACAATCAAAAGGACCAGTTAATAACAAAGACAATGCACGTAAAGATTCTATTTCGTTATATAATATAAACACACATATAATGCTCTGTCCAGAACAAACATATAACAGTGGTGGCAAAACAAGGATAGAATCAACCATAATGAAGTGGATTAAGAATAATAATCAGTTGAATATGAACCTGAAGTTCTTCAATTTGATGGTTCATAGAGTCAATAGTGATATATGAAGCATCCAGAAAATTGTTAGAAGTAGCGCGCGGAGCAAGATAAGCCTTAGTATCTATATTCTCCTCTGTCGAATTTGCATATTTCTCCAGTGGAGGGGGTAATGACGATCCGAGCCTTCTTACTGAGGAAGCTTTAGAGTTCATTAGTATCTGGCGATGTCTAACAACAAGAATATTGTTGACGGGACCTGCACATTATGCAATGAACTACTTTGTTACATAGTAAACTAATATCAAATGCAAGAGGGGGTAAAAAAAAAAAAAAAAAAAAAAAAAAAAAAAAAAAAAAAAAAAAAAACCATTAAAAATAGAACTGTGGAATGTGCAATCAGTAACAAGATACAATTATTGTCATACTATTAAGTGATTTACAAGTACTCAAAGAGTTTTACATACTACTCAGTCAAATTTTCTAATAGAGAAACATTGATCACTACATTACTAGGAAAAAAGAAACAAACTTGCAAACACAGCAACAAAATTTTGAATTTCTGAATAAACCAACGAAAGTAAATCATAAAATATTGATATATTAGATGTAATTTATTGCATGAAAAATCCTTATCAATAAATTAAGGGGGGAAAAAAAAAGATGATAAGTCAATTATTATTTTACTAATTATTAAGAAAGATTTATAAGTAGTGCATTAGTTTTACATATCATACGATCCACTGCTCTGAATAACCTTAATATATCATTCTTACTTTATCATGTTAGGCCAAGATTTATTTGCTTAATTTGTATTATATGATAAACATCATTATTTTAAGGGCAAATTACACTCATACCCCCTGAGGTTAGGTCATTTTTCAGCTAAATGAATATTTTGGTTTTAATTTCACTTACATCCCAATTTACTTTTTGGCCTCTGATACATGCGAATTGACCATTTTACCCTCAATTTTTAATACAAAATATCTGTAATCTTAAATGACAAAAAAGGCCCCTATATCTATATATATATATATATATTCAAGCACTGTTGGCCGCTTTCCTTTGCTCCTCCAGTCCTCCAAACATCATATAGGTTTGGCAATGATGGGTTCATAATTTATCGGTTGCGAATTGGTTTGTTTGGTGATCGGGGTCTTGCGATTGGGTTTCCCAACCCAATCGCGATCCATAGTCAGAGAGATTACGTTTTGGTTTGATCGAGCAACATCACCACCATGTAAGCACGACTTTTGCCTCCGCCGCTGCCGATGACCACTGTGCAAGGGTGGCCAAAAATTTGAAGGAAACCGGAATGGAATCTTTGATGACATCTAGACCACCATGTCCCCAACGGTGACAACAATGCCAGCACCAGCAGCTGCAACCACCCCACCCTAACACCTCCATCACCACCACCCCACCCAAAACCAAACTGCGAACCAGTGGCTACAACCACCCCCACCCAACACCTCCATCACCACCACCCCACCCAAAACCAAACTGCGAACCAGCGGCTACAACCGCCCCCACCCAACACCTTCATCACCACCACCCACCTAAAACCAAACCAAAAAAAAAAACCCAAAATCCCATCCCGTCACAATAACTAAACCCAAGTTAGAGAAATTCATAAACAATCGCACTGATGACAACAACTGGGTTATGGTGCTTGCACTACATCGTCGAAAGATCATGCCAAGAGTTGTCCTCAAGTCTGTAATCGCAAAGGGTGGCATGCGACGGTGAAGCGGTCGATCCCTCGCTGTCAATCACCGACCAGACAATGAAATCATACTTTTCCGGCAGCAGATCTGGTTCGATCCTTGTTCCGATTCTCATTCCACCGCTCTCAATCACCGACCGAATAATGAAATCATGCCACTACAGGTTCGATCCTCATTCCGATTCGGCCGAGTTTGGTGAAGATCTTGATGAAAGGGGTTACCAGATGGTCTCTGCAATTCTGATCCGGCGAAGACGAGGCAATTCTGCAATTCTGATCCGAAATTGCTTTGCCGTGGCGGCGATGAATTCTCTGGCAAAGACGAGGCGATGGTTGAGAAGCCCGCCGCGTTGTCACAGGAAGGTTGCCTTGAGACCAGAGATGTTGATGGCGATGACCACAAGGGAGCCAATAGTGGTGATGATTGTTCACCAGAGCGACAACGGTGTGAGGGTGATGGAGCGATGACAGTGGTGTATCATGTATGGGTTGGGGCATCAAGCATGGAGAAGGATATGGGTCTGCAGGTTAGAAAGAGAAAGGATATGGGTCTGCAGGCCGAGTCCATGTTGGAGGAGAGAGAAGATGGTTATGTGTAAAGTATTTTGCTGATGATGGTGCAGGTTGGGGATAGTTTGGTCACAAAAATAGTCAACACGAGGTCAGAGGGTAGTATAGTCATTTAACACCTCAAAAGAACTCTGGCCCGAACAAAAATTGACATTTGGGGTGTAAGTGAAATGCTAAACCACTAATTCAAATGTAAGTGAAATTTAAAACGAAAATGTTAATCTAGCTTGAAATATGAAATAACCTCATGGGGTGTGAGTGTAATTTGCCCTTATTTTAATCACAGTAGTTAATAACATAATATATTCTTCACAAAATCACATTCTTGTGATTAACATATCATTTAAATCATCTACATAGCTTTGCTTTAAGTTGTAGGTGTCAGACAACATGAATAGATATTTCTGGACAATAATCAAGTATCATTACTCTAGCTAAATTATTTACACCTTGCATCAGTGCTAGTTCATTTACAATGTTTTGCTTCAAATATATCCACTGCTAGAAATTTATATAACAGCATTCGTTTAGAAAATTTTCAACATTCGCTGCACCTAATAGGGAGGGGCACTGAACATTTTCCTCTCTAATTATATTAAAACTCTTATTTCGTGTATATATATATATATATATATATATATATATATATATATATATATATATATTCAAATTTAAAGAACAGTTTTGTAAGAAATATTGATGTCTTCCTTTTTCTGGGTGATAGGCTCTTGTTGGTGATGAATTTGTTGGATAAGTTTGGCTCTCTGTAATTTTTATTTGACTCTGTTGCTGCCTCAGTCACTTTATTCATAGTTTTAAGTTTGGTTTTCGTGGACCATTTGTCCTTATTTGTATTATAAAGGGACTGTTGATCATGTTGTACATTGCTCTCTTGTTATGGTATGCATGCCCTTTTATTGTAATTATGCTTCTTTTTAACAAAATCTAACTTACCAAAAAATATACATAAATATATACACACTTTTGTAAGCACTTGTTTGATCTTGAAATGGATGGAGATATGCCCCTTTATTGTAATTATGTTTCTTTTTAACGGAATCAAACTTACCAAAAAAATATACAATAATACATACACACTTCTGCAAACACTTGTCAAACCAAAAAAAGCTAGCACTTCTTCAATTTCCCAATCCTAGACACTCCTCTTAAAGTGGACATCCTGTCTTAGCTCACTATAAGCAAGATGATAACAATCCGCCATCAAGAGTTGCTTGTCTGCCACAATCGCGAAACTATGCATGCAAGATGCTGATTCCCACCCAAGACATCCGTCAAAAATCAAATGCATCTCGCTTCTCACCTAGAACCACATATGCTTAGATAACTCACCCCAATCCTTCTGAATATTTTTCCAGAGAAGCTTCTGTCCCTTCACACATGGCCTGCTCTAATGGCTTCAATTAATTGTTTTCTTTGCTTTGGCTGACCCTTTGCTCTGGATGTTGTTTAGGACTTTTGCTACAATAACACTGATGTTTCCCAAATCGTTTTCTTAAGAATCTTCCTTCTAGTTTATTGTTCCACTTTCCTTTGATGGACACGTGTTTTGGCCAAACGCTAGATGTTGGAGGGTAGATACCTTGGCACCATACCCAGCCAATAGAAGCTATTTGTAAGGAGGAGTTCAAGGGCCAGTCAACCACTCAACCCTCAACTATTTGTCGACCGTTTTATCCTGAATCTTGTTATAGTCCTCAAACTGTGTGAAGCTCTTTGTTAGATAAGTCATATGGTTGCTATTAAAGGTGTCTTGTCTGGTTAGGGCAACTTCGTTTTTTAAATTATGTTTCCTTGTATATAAGATGCCCCCTTAATCGTTGAACATAAATCTCATCTAACTCTAACTTATCAAGAGTTTTGATTCTAAAGACCATGGGTTCAATTTTGTGTACTTGCATTTTGTTCATCCATGATGTCAGTCTATTAGTTTGGTCTGTCTATTTGTCTGTCTCTCTTGGTCCGAGAGGGGGTTGCACATGAGGAAGATTTTGAAAACTTGATAGATATTGTTTGATTCATTCCCTAATAAGCTTAAGTATGTCTATTGTGGATGGGTAATAAGTGAATTATTTGTTATTCATTGTCCAGTGGTGATAGAGTGGGTGAAATCTTCTTTTGGCCCTTTTAGGTGTTCATTGGTCATGCCTAGCTCAACCAATGACAATTCAAGGAGTTGGAAAGAAAGTAAGATGAGAGATAAGGCGAGTCTCCTGAGAATATTATGTAGAATTTGACTTTTAACAGACGACATCATTTGTACATGAGTGTGACCCCTCTGAAGCCTTTTAATGAAATTTTATCTAACAAAAGGGAAAAGAAAATAATGCAGTGAATCTAATTGAAAATAATGCAGCGAATCTAACAGAATTCAGGTAAGCAAGTGACAATTTTTTTTATGATTCAGATAATACCTTTTGCATGTTTGAAAATGCGAATAATGCTGTGGGTTTTAGTGTCCCAAACTCGAACCATTCCGTCCACCGATCCCGAAACCAATGAGATTCCATCCGCACCAAATGCTAAGCAAGTGACAGACTTACTGTTCCAAAAATTCAAACTGTAAATCTTTGAGGAAAAATAATGAATAAAAATCAATTTGAAGAAAAGTTGTGTAGTATATCAGCCACAAACTAGATAAGGAATACACAATCTTATCTTGAAATTTAAAGAAATGAGTATATAATCAAATTACAGGAAAAGTTCACAAACCCATGATCAGACAATGAACCAATGATATGCATCCCATAATTGTTCTTGGGAGTGCCTTGAGCATTAAGTGCCGCAATGTATATTTTTCCATCTCTACCTCCAGCATAAAAGACATGCTCACCAGGGTCCAATGCAACTGCGTCAATTATTGATGGGAATACAATACTTCTCAATAGTTCCCCTCTACATAAGCTAAAAACCTAGAACAATATAATTCAAAATTAAGGGGGAAAAAATTAGTAGATCAGAATTTCGAGCTTCACAGTTTTCAATTTACTTTTAAAAATTAGTAGAGAGAATGCCAGACCTTACAAGTCCGATCCTCAGAAGCAGACACTATGATGGCATTAGATCCTCCATAACCGGTAACGATGTCAGTCACCCGCAAAGTGTGCTCAGTGAAGCTATACTCATAGAGGTGTCTTGCTTCCTCCCTCCCCGCATCATCAAATATCCTAATTGACATGCAACTTTCTCAATAACGAATTCCATCAAACAAAATATTATGAAATAGACACACAAGAAGATGAGCCAGTACATGATAAGCGACCAGACTCTAACGCATCCATCCTCTGCCCCAGAAACCAATAGCGATTGGTCGTCACAGTACACTAAGCAAGTAACAGCCCTATAATGAGCATGCCACTTCTTAAGCAACCTGCCGGTCGCAACCTATATCATATAAAATATACAAATCAATACAGAAAACCCAAAACATGGGTTAAACTGAATCACAATTCTATCAATGGTATATAATATCATTATTGTAACAAAAACAGATAACAGTAGGAAAATATATTCACCTCCCACAAGTATATATAGCCAGATAAACCTCCTCCAATAATGTAAGTCCCATCACTATTAGAAACAAGTGGATTAATCGGTTCTGCCGGGAAGCACTTAACTTCTACATGAGGCTGCACAGCAAAAGCTAGGTCTAAGAAGCCATTTATCAAACACCTTAGGTTCAAAAAATACACACTCATACACGCCACACATTTAATTATACACACACAAACATATATATATATAGATTGGTTTAGAAAAATAGAAAGAGAGAGAGAGAGAGAGTGACCTTGTTCCAGGACCAGTAGAGGACGGAGCCGGAGGAGGAGGACGAGTCACGGAGTTGAGAGGAGGCCAGAAAGCGGTCGCCGACGGAGACGAGGCCGTGAGGAGGGGAGGCACAAGAGCGGTAACGGAGGTGCTCGGCGCCGGAATTAAGGTCCCAGCAACCAATGCCGGCGTCGGTGGACGACGAAGCGATCACCAGCTCCGTTTCCATTGATTTGCGTTTTAGTACAGAGGAATTTAGTTTTGGTGAGTTATAGCGGTCCACTCTACTCTGCATAACACGACGTCGTTTTCTATAACTTTAGGGTTGTATTGACATGCGTCCTATTGATATGAGTTTGGGCTATTGGGCTTAGAGTGAGAAAATATCCCAAAGTCCAGTCTGAGCCAGCAATAAGCTAGCCCGGCCCAATACGTCACTCCTCAATGACAGAGTTTATGTAAAAAATAATAATTAATTAATAGAAATAATTATTTTTTTCTGAAATTATGGAAATATAATTTTATGGCATGATATGACCGAGAGTCATAAATACATATATATTTATGGCTCTTCAATAAATTACTTAATTTGTGCTTCAGCGGTGTATCTACACATCATGGGCTTTTTATGCCGAATGGGTTATCGGGTTCTGTTGTTTTATGACTCGAATGGTTTTCATATTTATAGCAGAGCTTGAGAGAGGGAGAGAGAATGTCATAACTCATTAGCTAGGGTTTTTATTTGGATTTGATTCCTTATTGGGTTTAATCCGATTCCCTTTTTAAAAAATTTAGTTTTTATTTATTTATATTGTAGGGACACGTGGCATCTTATTTTTGCGCCACGTCCATGGTTATAATAGACCAGTATGGTCCAAACAAAAATAATGAAATTAACAATATTGAGAACAAAATAATTTGTTCATGATGATTTTACTTTCGAATAAACTTGCTCAATTTCAGTTTAAACAATGTAATTTTCCCTTTTAATTAACTAGATCAATGTGATTGTGCCAAAATAGAGCTACTTGGCAAAGTTAATCATTATCTCCTTTATATCACCTTTTTTTCTATCTTTTTTTTATACCAAAATGACAATACTTGCCTCCTCGCCCGTAAATATGTGATCTTTACTAATGTGTAAATATGTGATTTCTACTGATGTGCTCCAAGCAAAAATTCACACATTGTTTGTAATTATAAAATGGAGAAAGTAATAAATAAGAAAAATACAACAGTTGGTAAATTTATTCCCAAAAAAGTTTTTTCTCCTTATTTATTACTTTTCTGATTTTGAAATTATAAACTATGTGTGAATTTGTAATTGGACCTAATCAACACTCAGTATAGATCACCTATTCACTAGTGAGTTGACAAATATTGTCCTTACCAAAATTCATTTTTAATTCTCAGATTCTCCCAAATACTTGTTTAACTTAATTGATTGTATTATGGCCTAAATATATTTTTTGGAAATTTAAGGCTTTAATGATCTAAGGTTTTTTATTATTATTTTTAAATAAGGGTCTCCACCTTTATGTGAGACTAAAAAAAGAGGTAAACCTAGTGCATGAGGCTTATTCTTACTTTTCTATGAGAAAAATATTGTTTTTATGATATGTGACCTAATCACGACAAATCAACCTTACCATTCTGTCTAGTCTAGCCTCCTTTAAATGAGACTAATTCCATCAAATTAAGTTGCATGAGAAAATATTAGGTACACCGAAATACTGATAAAATAATGGTACTTGGCCAATATTACCTAACCAACTGTATGAGATTAAAAAAAGAGGTAAATCTAAGTGCATGGGACTCCTCCTTACTTTTCCTATGAGAAAAATATTGTTTTCATGACAAGTGACCTCTTAGTCACGGTGAATCAACCTTACCATTGTGTTTAGTCTATCCTCCTTTAAATGAGACTAATTCCATCAAATTAAGTTACCTGAGAAAATATTAGGTACACTGAAATACTGATAAAATAATGGTACTTGGCCAATATTACCAAACCAATTGTGAAGGGTTATTTACTTGTCCTTTGGCTGAGGTTACTATATATATAGAAGGTACCCCTAGTGTTACACGCGAGACTTGCCTCACATCGGATCTGAATAGGGAAGTAAATGGGTATATATGAGTTGGGTGTTAGCCCCACATAATAGTTTAAACATTTGGGTTGGATCACGAAGCACCTGATCCATTACAATTAGTATTAGAGTCATAGTCAGTTCTTGATCTAGTGTTGACCCGCCTGGCCAGAAGTGTCCAAGTGTGCCACCTCATGTAGACAGGGTAACTGGACTGCAACTAAAGCATTGCGAATCTGAATTCGGATAGGGGCCGAAAATGTTATAAGTAGGATATAGCTTTACTCTTTTGAGTCAGATGGTGTATTACCTGCCCGTTACACAGTGTAGCTATGCCGGCCCAAAAGTGTCTGCATGTACGCAAGTTCGGATTTGGATAACAGAAAATATTACAAGTGGGATATAGTTAGGGTCGCCCTGGGCCTAGGCCTCTAATTTAGGACTTGGGCCAAAAAAAACAAACGAATAAAGTGTTTATAGATCATTGGGTATTACAAAAAACTGTTGAATGCTCAATTTTTCAAAGCCCTTTAGTTATGGGATTTTCTTTATAGTGAGTTTGACGGGATAAAAAAAAAAATCAGTTGCCCTCCAATCCAAGTACATAAAATATTTTTTAATGACCCCAACCCCAAGTCCATAAAATATTTTAACTTAGATCCTTTAATACGGTTGAAGCAAGCCCAAATCTGAATAGAAAATAAAGCACATCCAGAACAAAAAAAATATTTTTTTTTGAAAGGTAGAACGAAATTATTAATATTAAGAAAATTGATAAAATAAAACCCTAAAACTAAGAAAAATACATATTAAATGATGAAAAATAAAGCCCATTTGAGAATTCCATAATGTCTTCATTAAGGAACATTGAAAGTAATATTTTAGTAGGAGCCCATTTTACAAGTGAAGATGTTTGAATAAAAAAGGCAATTGAAATATTGGATTTTATAAATAGTTTAAGTTATTTTTTAAATGTTTGGATTACATATAGAGTATTATTGATTATTCCAATTACAGTTGCATCTCAAAGTTAGAGTTGATCAAATCTTATGTAAGGTCGACGCACAAGAGATATTGAATGGATTGATTATGATATCTATTAGAAAAGATATGTTGGAAAAGCTTGATTGAAACACTTTAATTGATAATTTTGCTGTTCAAAATACAAGACGATCACATTTATTTTGATATGAAGTTAAAATTTGATTTTTTTTGACTAAGTTGTGTCCTTTTAATTTTTTTGATGTAAACTGGATCATTCTCTTTATAGAGCACCAAAACTGAGTTTTGTTGTATGTGTCTTTAATATTAATATATTTTATATACTTATCGTCTCATTTTAATAAAAATTCCGTACTCTTATAAATTTTGTGCATATGTGAAACATTATACATAAAGGGTATCGCATTTGAAAGTTTTCCTAGACTCTCTCAAAAATTTGAAAATTTGAGGACACCCTGAAAATAGTTTAACCTTTAAAGTGAGATCGCGAAGCACTCGTAAACTACAAACAAGTTTTGCATTAAATGAGCTGTTAATGTGTGGAATAACTATTACACAGAACTGCATAATAAGCAGCCCCTGTATTCAATGTGTGTGTGTGTGTCTATATAAATATATATATTATTTTGGTTTAAGAGGGACTGAATAGACTTGTGTTCATGAAACATGATTCTTGAGCACTCCATTTTTTTCTTTGTGAGGGATGAAGGCATAGTGTATAGAAAAATTTGATGATAGTGTGATTTACAATCTTGTACCATATTTACTTAGAAACCCAACAAAAAGAAAAGTGTGAATTAATTTAATTTGCATTGGATTTTGAAGAAAAGGAAAAAGTAATTAAAGCTCAATACCTACAAAAGTAGGATACACTTTAGAAACTCTAGGGCAATAAAATACCCCAGCCTGAACATTCTTCTACTATTTAATCGTATATTTTCTCCTATAAAGTGTCGCATCGTCAATAAAGTGTTATAGCAAAAGAAATGTCAACAAAGTTGCATTAAAAAGACTAAACGAAGCAAAACAAGTCTTTTTAGCTGCTACTACTACTACTAATTTTAATCTTCCTTTTTCTTTTTTCAACTTTCAAAACTTGTGTCATAGTCCAACATGGCTGTTCAGCAACACACACGCTATCCTCTTAAAGCATCTTTTACCAGTTGATCCGTATATCACTTTATATATATACATATATATTTATTTATTTATGGTGTATAATATAGTACTAAGCCTAATCCCATCAACACTTCTTTTGGACTAGACGTATCCTTCTACATTGCACGTGCAACTCCCAAAATCACGTGCCAAACACACATCCCAAAAAGTGACAAGGAAGGGCTTAGTTTAATGGTACCCAAATGTCTCAAAGGCTCAAACTAGGGTTAGGGTTATTTGTTTTTTTTTCGTACAAGACCAAATCATTGCACGACCAAGATTTTCTAATCTTACATTACAATAGTATTATACATTCCAACCTACCTACCGGCTATAATATTATACCTTCTCGCTCCTCTTTCTCTCTCTAGAAAATTTTAAATACACAGTACTCTCCTTTCTTCTCCTCTTTCCCACCTCTCTCTCTGTTCTACTCCAATTTAATATACAGTAGTACTACGAACAAAGCATGAGAATTAATACAGAAACAAACAAGGATGAAGAAAGCAAAAGCTAGTGGAAATGGTTAGTCAAACTTTTTGTGAAACTTTACTTGTAACATATATATATGGCAAAGGAACATACAAAGCAATAAATCTTACACACACACATATATATATACATGCCAGTCAAACAATGACTGTTTGGTTTTTTGCCTGATGGAAGGAAAGAGGAAAGAGGAAAGAGGAAAGAGAAAGAAGAAGTAGGGGGGATCCAAAGAAGGGTTTGGATGATCTGATACCTAAAGTAGGAGGGAAAGGAAAAGGATTTTTCTGGTCCTCAGAAGTATAGAAGCCTTGATAGAAACGTTTCAAGCCCACATTTTTACTTCATTCTTCAATATTTCGCTTTCATCGAATACAACCCCAACTTTATATATATATATATATATGGGTAGTACTAATGCTGTGTATGTGTGTATGTTTTGTTTTTACATGTGTGTTTGTTTCTTGACTTTGCGTGACTGACCGTTCAAATAAACGAGAAATGGAAATCATAACCTTAATCAGAAGAAGAAGGAGAAGATATGATACCATACCTTTCTTCTATGACAATAATAATCACAACAATCAATGATAATGACAATGCTATAATTAATATATACATAGTAGATCAAAATGAGGAGTGAATTATGATTATCATTTGGTATGCCTGTCAGTTGCTTTTTCTCTCATTTAATTTTCCTAATAATATTTTGTCGATTTTCCTGAAATATTAATATAGAAAAAATTCTTTGTATGTCCTGGTTGTACGTATGCACCATTAATGGCTCTTCCAGAGAAAGCCCCAGATAGAGCTAGAGGGAGAGAGAAACTTGTCATTGAACCAGCCTGAAACCCTTCCCAGCTTTTTCCTCTTTAGAACTGCAAGAAAAAGAAACCCTTTATAACCCTCTTCCTCTTTACACCATCACTTTCTCTCTCTAGAGCATTAATTAACATAACTGAAACATTCAGATACATCAGATTCAGAAAGAGAGGAGAAGAAGAAGATGGAGATGAAAAAAAACTGATCAGAGCAATAAATTGCACCACTGAGGTAATCAAAAAAGCTATGATGTTAACAAATTGAAACTATTGCTTTGATCTTCTTCACTCTAACCAAAAAGCCCACCTGCATTCATGGGTTTGGGGGAACAATTTAACATAATACCACCGTCACTGAAGTTATATTTACACAGACCCACAAACACGCACTCACACACACATCATTTCCACTAACAATATCAGGCTCTCTCAGACCCAAAATAACAACCAAACATAACTTGAAAATTTTCAAAAGAAAAGAAATTGGTAAATATTAAAACTTAGATTTGTTGAATGGGGAAAGAAAGAGAGAGAGCTAACATGAGGAAGGAGGCATGAGATTCAACCCTAAATCGTCCTTTTCGAGGACTAATCGAGCTTTGTTCATCTCCATGTTCGTCGCGGAGGAAGCATACTCCGGGTGCAATCTCTTCTTGGATTGTAGAGGGACACCAAACAACTTTGTTCGGTTGTTGGGTTCTTCAATTATCTTCAAAGGGCTAGAAGATGAGTTGAATGAACCCATTTGTTGAGATTGTACTAGTTTAGGAGCTTGTTGGTGGTGATGGAATCCAATGAACTGATTCAGAGGCTTTTGCACCATTTGATGATGAGTAGTTGCAGAAGATGGTGTGGAGTTGTTATTATTACATATGACAAGTGATGATGGGTATGAGTTACTTGGCGCCACTGGCTTCACATGGTTCTGAACGAAGTAGATAATGTCATTGTATAGCTTCCTCATGTGAGCTAGCTCAGACATTAGCATGTTGTTGCTCCTCCTCAACCTCTCGTTGTCCTCCGACAGCGCCGTCACCGAGCTGCTGTAGTTCCCACCACCACCGCCATTCATCATCGAAATCGAAACCCCGCCAGTCGGAGACGAGAGTGGCGGCGAGTCGCACCAATTGCCGTTCTCGTCGGAGTCGGGCGGGGAGACGCTGACTCGGCCCGAGTAGGGGAAGAAACCCTGGCCGCCACCGCCAATCGGAGAATGGTGGTTGAGGTGGTGGTGGTTGAGGGCCACTTGTGGCTGAGATGTCTTCCTCCGGTGGATCTCACACAGCAGATGCTTCTCTCCTTTCTTGAAGAATTCGTTAGCGAACTCCCATCTATCCGGTACAATCTTTCTAAAACCCTAGAAAAATATCAAAAAAACACCACCACCCAAATCAAAATCAGTAACTTATTCATATACAGATATGTAGATGTAGAGAGAGAAAGTTAAGAGTTAGAGAGAGAGTGTGTGTGTTTACGTAGGTGTTGAGCTGGCGGACGAAGCTGGAGAAGTTGTTGTGCTTGAAGTAGTTGGGGAGGAGGTCGCGAGCGAACTCGGGAGGACGCCAGACGACGAAGGTGGTGTCGTCTTCGCCCCAGGAGACGACGTGGTCAGTGGCCGGGTCGTCGACGAGTTGGTATGTTTTGGTGAGGAAAGGAGCCGGGACTGACTTGTGAGAGTCTAGAGACAGTAAAATGCCTTCACAGTTGTCTAGCATCAGAGCCATTGTCTCTCACAAACACACACAATTATGTGTAAAATAAAATTTTGAACCACCACTTTCTACTTCTTGTTTTACTTGCTTAGTTCTAGAGTGAGAGAGAGATCAGTAGAGAGAGAGGGAGAGGGGATGGGGTTTTGGGAAGGGAAGGGAGGGTTAGTATGTGATGGGGTTATATATATATATATATGTATATGTAAATGTAATAGTGGTAATTTTTTTTTTTTTTGATAATTAATGTATTGTAAAAGTTCATCCTCCCTCGGTTATGTAGTGAGAGAGAATATGTGTCTGTCTGTCTAGGACTGTGAAATAAGGGCCTTTCAAGACAAACCCGTGACCACTTTCTCTCTCTCTTAATTCTCTCTCTTGCTTTGATTCCGCGCGCGCATACTCACTTAAAATCACGCACAAGATGGGGTGGAGGTGGAGAGCGGATATGAGAGAATTGACGGTGGAACCCCTAGTCAATTTAGCTCTTACTAGTACTACTTTTTGTTCTCTTTTTGGGAAATTCTTTCTCTCACTCTTCCTTTTTACCTTCTTAATCATCACTTTTTACTGATACTTCCACTTGCTAGCTGGTCAATACCACTGTCCTCAGTGCAATTCTATAGTGGTGTGTTTCCAATCAATTTCAGATGAGATTTATATTTATTTATTTAGCAATAAATAAATAAATAAATAAATAAAAACTCAATAAATGGATTTAATTTTCACCCTTTTTAGTTACCCTGAATGATTAAGCAATTAGGATATATGCAGGACAGACTAGTCTTGAAAGAATAGAAGATACTAATTAGCTACTTTAAAGAATAATAATAATTATTATTATAATGATGTATTATCATGATTCACATTGGCATACAAGTGATTAATTCGATAATCCTGTTAGGTGTTTTGATCATTACATGTTAATGTCTAAAGTACAAGATATTAAAACAAGGGCAAATAGATTTTTTGCATTTAGAAATATGCTCTAGTAAATGGTAAAGAAAAAAATAAAAAATATATAATTGAAAATATATATATATATATATATATATATATATATATATATATATAATACTAGTAATAAGAACTTAAAAATAATGTGTTTTATGAAGCTTATATTTCAATCAAAATTACTCAATTTATAAACAATTTAAACTTGTCACAGTTCGAATTATATCTGAACTCTTGTAAAGAATTAGGCATAATAAACTTATAAATCGAATAATCAATTAAGGTATCATCAATCATATTTTCTCCTTTTTAGACCACACTTGCTTTTTAGTGAGAATAACAAGAAGAAAGGACTAAGTTAAAAATTCATGTTTGTACTAGTAATAAAAAGTTGTTTAAGGTGATTTACTTTTAGTGTTTTGATTTGATAACTAGAAAATTTCTAATCCTAGTTTTGAAGGGGTAGTTTGGTCACAACAAAATGAAATGAATAAAGAAATGAAGAAGAAGGTGGTATCACTTCACGTCAAACGAGTGTCCTCTTTTCAATTTGTAGCTTTCCTTTTGTTGTTTAATGGCACCAACCAAACACTCTCTCAAAATTTCGAATCCCCATCATTTTCTACTACTTCTGCTACTACCTTTCTCTTGCAGATATAAGGTTATAAAAAAGGGGTGGTCACATTGAATTACGTGATGGGATTTTAAAAGTAAAGTCTCTCAATGTAGTGACGGCATACATTTCACTTCCCTCATCCTTCTACTTCCTTCTTCTAATATTGCTTCTCTCTCTCTCTCTCTCTTTCTCTCTCTAAACTTCCTTTCCTTCCTTCCTTCCTTCCTTCTTTCCTTCCTTCTTCTTCTTCTTCTTCTTCTTCTTCTCCTTAATTCTCACCCCTTCTTTCTTTCTCTCTCATAATATTCCGGACTTCAATAACATCATGCATGTAGACAAGTTTCTCTGCCCACTACCTTTACTGATCACCATTTGGCATATATAGGGCTATATAGACAGAGACCATTGGGCTATACTAGTGCTTTGAGCCTCCAACTTTGGCTTCTCTTGTGGCTCGGCTTTGCTGACGTGGCACTCAGGTGCTTGAATTATTGGACTATAAAGTTTTCATGAATAACTCGCCTAAAATATTTAAAATTACACCTTTTCCTTTCTCTGTAATGGCCCAAGGGAAAAAAAATCTGTTCTTTTACACACCTTAATTACTCTATTCTTCACCAAAGGGTAGCATCAATTTTCATACCTTCATCATCATGTAATGACACCTGTCTTGGCAAAGAGAAGCACATGAGATTTTATTGGTGAAATGCATCGAATTTCTTTGAGGTTTAGATAAATTATACACCGATATACCGTTCAACGTTTATTACTTTAACTTCAGCTGAGATTTAGTGTATGTGCTCAATGACACCCCTAGTTTATTTTTTTAATTAATTTATTTTTTTGTGGAGCACACGTTGTCTAAATTTTATAAAATGACTTTTTTGCCCTTTTCTTGTATGATATGATACGATACTTTATTATGACATAAGGGCATTACTGACTTTTTATAGTTAAAATCATTTTTCGACTGCTTATGAATGAGTTGAAGGGAGGTCAAAGTAATAAACATTGAATGATCTATCCATGTGTAATTACTTGAATTTTTGTGTCACACAATTTGAAAGAGTACGTATTCGGGGCGCCGGTGCACCAGGCTAATCAGAGTCATGCGTGCATAATACGCGTTGATGTCGCGTGCACATCACGCACAACTCTAATTAACCGAGTGCATAACGCATCAGATAATCAATTAAATTTAAAGATGGGTGGATGGAAATCTAAGCAATTAGGGTTTAGCAGTGGTAATGGATAATGGGAAAAAAGTGAGACATTGATTCATTAGTGATAAGTGCACAGTGGGAGTGGGGACATGAGATGGGAGGAAAGTGAAACAATAGGAAAATGATGAGTAATAATTTCACCAAGATACCCAACTGATTATTTTGATCATGCCTATGATACTGATCATTATTATTAGGAAAACAAAGTTACAACTGTTCTAGTTCCCCACCCCCTCCACCCTTATGATCATTTCTACCTTTCCCTCTTTCTTTTGTGGCTGTTCTCCATAATCCAAATTAAAGTTCATTGTTTTTATATGTGCCCTAGCAATCATCTCTCTATAACTTTCTTAACCTCATGCTCATTTTCCCCTTTTTTCATGCAGTTGCTGAAAATTTTTAAAAATAAAATCTCTCAGGCTTGTCTTACTTAACAAGCGAATGCTTTTCCATTTGTTAATATATCTTCACACACACACAAACATACATACATACATACATACATATACACACACACACACACACATATATATATATATATGTATGTATCATTGATTATATCATTAGTGAAGAGAGATAAGAAAATATATAAATGAGAGAGGGGATGTACGTTGTTAATTGCTAAAAATTAAGTTGAAAATTTTCAATTAGCAAACCATTTATATATTGAAAAATGATAAATGAATAAGGAAAAAAAAACCCCTCTATACCTTTAGATGGATTGATAAACTGACTTTACGTGACGATTAGTTATAAGTGTATTAAGCGTACTTTACTTTCTGATAAATGTATTTCAATTTTAAATAAAATAATTTTTTTTTTGGGTACATAAAATGATATTATTATCCTAGCTTTATGGATTTTTAAATTGGCATTGAAGACACTCTTGTCATTTTGTTTAAGAAAAAGACAAAAAAAAAAATATAGTGAATAGTGAAGTCTGAACACATATAACAAGTCTGGAATATCATCTTCTTTAATCATCCAAGGATTTCAAATTGTGTATATATGTAAATATAATAAGTTCAAATAAATGTTTTATTTAAATATTATAAGTATAGGGGAGATTGAGGGCTCAATTAATCCTCACTAGGGGCAAAAAGTGTGTGCAAATTGCTTTTCAAATAAATAAATAACTAAAAGGAATTTTGAAATATATATATATATATATGAAGTAAAAAAAGTTAATTACCTACAATATTATTATTATACAAACATTACAAGGCTAGCCCGTGGCTATTACTAAAGAATCAACTTTTATCAAAGAAAGTGTTGCAGTGAAGAAGTTTTTACTAACATGGTTACATGGCTAAGATAAAAAAGCAATATATATATATAAACATGCATATATACATATATCCAACTCTAGCAATAAGTACACCAAGACTTATAGAGGGTATGTAATGACTAATGAGAAATGAAGGTCTTTGCATGTGACTGTAGATATTAAATTATAATTTAAATTTAAAAAAAAAAAAAAAATAGAGAGAGAACACATGTCAGCTTCAAGTCCCGATATTCAATTTCAATGGGGAAATGCTTTCAAAAGTCTGAGAAGGAGACCTTCTAAACCTTCCTCTGTCTCTCTCTCTCTCTCACTCATGACCTTCTCTTTCTCTCTAGGCATACATGCTTCTTCTTCTTCTTCTTCTATCTTCTTTTTCTTCAGCTCATCAGTGTTCATGTACACACACAAACTAGTCTTACCCTTGTGTAGTACTCTGAACAGTTTCAGCGCCTGACATGGAGAGTACAGACTTCCTTTTTATTTTTTGCTGGGGCTGGCTTTGTTTATATGCCATTCTCGTGAATCCTCTTTTGTTTTTTTCCCTTACACCACATATATTTATTCCCACCACTTAATTTGCATTCCCCTATTCATGTTACATGCATATATATGGGAATATATATTTATATATATTTATGTGCATCACATGTACTAGATAGATCTTATCCTAACAATTAATAATTAATCTAGAAGTACCCACAAATTTACCTTTACCCTCACTGTTAAATTGGTCACTGATAATTGCCTCTGATTGGTTTGATTATCATAATCATGTCATCATGCATATAAATATTACATTATGAGTTCCAATTTTGCCAAGATCTATACATATTTATATATATTGTAAAGTACAAAAAAAAAAAAAAAAAAAAAAAAAAAAAAAAGCCCAACCTTACATTTTTTCAAAATAAGCAAATAAGGACATTTTCTTTAATTTGAAGATGAAAATATTTAAAAATAATAATAAAAAAATATAAAGGCAAAATAATAATAATAAAAATAAAAAAAACATCAGAGAGGAGAGAGATTATTAAAAGTATTTTGGGGTTTTATAAAAAAATTGGTACAACAAATATTAGAAAGCAATTTGTACATATTATCAAATGTCATGAATTTATACGCACATATTAAATTATAGGGGTGTTTTTTTTTTTTTTTTTTTTTTTACATTTATATATATATATATATATATATATATATATATATATATATATATATTACAAATAATAATCTAGAAAAGTCCTCACGAAATAACAATATTTACCCTCAATAGTGAAACTAGTAACTATAATTGCCTC